TCGCGTTGCAGCAAATAACTCGCTGCATTTCACGATACAAAGCGATTATTGCATTCGCATCGCTGGAGCTAATGAATGAAAATATTTCGAGCCAATTAGATGTGAACAAGTGTCGACAATAAGCTGCGCTTGCTGTGTGTAATAAATGCCTCTCAATAGATTCGTGTTTTCAACAATATAAAAAAAATATGTGACGCAGTACAGCTAATCGTTATCAACAAAATTTAGAAAAAGGACGGAAGTAAATTTAGTGCTCTCTGGACGAAAGAGAAATTCCGCAAATTACTATAATGGTGGTTGAGTACTGTGCTTAAAATTATTAATTAGCATGTTTAGATGTTAAAGTGTTAAGTGCAATTATTTCTTTGGTTTTCTTTGAGAAAGGATATTTTAAAATTTTAGGAGATTAAATACAATGAAAGAATATTTCAAAGTTTAAATTCTGGAAATGAGGAGAAAATTTGGTTGTGTTTTAGAAAAAAAAATATGAATAATACCAGTTATAGTGTAAGAAAAAAAATTTTTTTAACCAGCTGAGCTAATAATACAAAAGAATGTTATTTTATAAAATTCGAGTACGATTTACCATGCAAAATTTTGAGGTGATGTTATTGAATTGTTGGTGGGGATGATTAGACAAATTTTGATTAAGGTTGAACAAATAGAAATATGAAGATCTGATAAATAGAAAAATTGAAGTATCGAAAAATCGAAAAATGGAAAAATTGAAACATCGAAATAGCCCAAAATATAAAAAACGAATGGTATTAACTGAAAAATTTGTAAGTTAAAATAAAACAAAATCGAATTAAATTGAGAAATCGAAACGCTGAAAAACTGAAAATTCGAAAAATTTAAAAACTGGAAAATCGCAAAATCGAAAAATCAAATATTTTACGAAGCAGAAAATAAAAAAATACAAAAAAATGAAGAATCAAAAATTTAAAAAAACTGAAAAACTGAAAGATTGAAATAATGAAAAATTGAAAAATTCATAATATGCCAAAAGCAAAATTGCAACGTTGAAAAATTGGGAAATGTTGAATTTAAAAATCGGAAAATTGGAAAATCAAACTGAAAACTCAAAAATTTTAAAAATCCAATAATTGAAAAATAGTAAAATGTAGAAATCGAGAAATTGAGGAATCGGAAAATCAAAACATCGAAATTTCGATAAATTGAGAATTCGAAAAATTTCAAAATCTGAAAATTCAAAATGTTTAAAAACCGAAAAATTGAATAAAATCGAAAAATCAAATATTGTAAAAATCATAAAATTGAAAATCCGATAAATCTAAGACCTAGTCGAAAAATCGAAAGATCGAGAAATCGAAATACAAAAAAAACTGAAAAATCTAAAATTTAAAAATCTGAAAATTTGAAAATTAGAAATATTGAAAACCAAAAAAGCGAGAAATTGAAAATCTAAACTTTTGAAAATTGAAAAATCAAGATATAAAAAATTGAAAAAATTGAAACAAAATTGAAGAATTGCAAAATTGGAAAAATCACGAAATCTTAACACTGATTAAACCGAAAAATAGAAAAATCGAAGACCTGAAAAATATAAAAATCGAGAAATCGAGCATTTGAAAAATTTAAATTAAAAAAAATTGCAAAATTTGATTAATCAGAAAATCGAAAAATCAAGAAATTGAACAACCGAAAAATCGAAACAAGGAAATCTCGATAAATTGAGAAATCAACAAGTTGAAAAACTGAAAATTCGAAAAGTTTATAGACTAGAAAAATTGAAAAATCCAAAAATCAAATGCATATTGTAAAAATCAGAAAATTGAAAATCCGAAAAAAATAAAATCTAGGAGTCAAAAAGTCGAAAGATCGAGAAATTGAGACATTAAAAACTGAAAAATTAAGAAATCGAAAAGTCTAAAATTTTAAAAATTGAACAATCAGAATATCGAAAAATTGAAAAAATCGAGAAATCGTAACATCAAAAAATGGGAAACCGAAAAATTAAAATATCGGAAAATCCAAAAATCGAAAAGTCGAAAAATTGAAGAACCGAAATATTGAAAAATCATAAAACTCAGATCGAAAAATTGAAGAATCGGAAAATTGAAAAATTAAAAAATCGAAACATTAAGAAATTCAACAACTGAAACATCGAAATCTCGATAAATTGAGAATGGAAAAACTGAAGAACTGAAAAATTTTAAAAATCCAATAATTGAAAAATAGAAAAATGTAGAAATCGAAAAATTCGAAACGTTTAAAAACCGAAAAATTGAATAAAATCGAAATATCAAATATAGTAAAAATCAGAAAACTGAAAATCCGAAAAATCCAAGACCTAGTCAAAAAATCGAAAGATCGAGAAATCGAAATACCAAAAAACTGAAAAATCTAAAATTTAAAAATCTGAAAATTTGAAAGATAGAAATATTGAAAACCAAAAAAGCGAGAAATCGAAAATCTAAAATTTTAAAAATTGAAAAATCAAAATACTATAAAAAATTTGAAAAACTGAAACAAAATTGGAAAAATCACGAAAAAATGGAAATGATTAAATGTACAAATCGAAAAATAGAAGTATCGAATACCTGAAAAATATAAAAATCGATAAATCGAGCAATCGAAAAATCAAAATTTAAAAAAATTGAAAAATTGATTAATCAGAAAATCAAAAAATGGAGAAATCGAAATAGCTCCACATCGAAAAATCGAAAAGTAAAAAAACCGGAAAATTCATAAGTTGCAATAAAAAAAATCGATAAATCGAAAAATCGAGAAATTGAACAACTGAAAAATCGAAACAAGGAAATCACGATAAATTGAGAAATCAAAAGTGGAAAAACTGAAAATTCGAAAAGTTTATAAATCGAAAAATTGAAAAATCCAAAAATCAAATACATATTGTAAAAATCAGAAAATTGAAAATCCGAAAAATCTAAAATCTAGGAGTCGAAAAATCGAAAGATCGAAAAATTAGAATATCGAAAAATTGAAAAAATCAAGAAATCGTAACATCAAAAAATGGGAACAACCATTAAAGTTAAAAATCGAAAAATTGAAAATCTTAAAAGTAAAATATCAGAAAATCCAAAAATCGAAAAGTCGAAAAATCGAAGAACCGAAATATTGAAAAATCATAAAACTGAGATCGAAAAATTGAAGAATCGGAAAATTGAAAAATTAAAAAATCGAAATATCAAGAAATTCAACAACAGAAACATCGAAATCTAGACAAATTCAGAATGAAAAATAGAAAAATCTGGAAATCGAGAAATTTGAAACGTTTAAAAACCGAAAAATTGAATAAAATCGAAAAATAAAATATAGTAAAAATCAGAAAACTGAAAATCCGAAAAATCTAAGACCTAGTCGAAAAATCGAAAGATCGAGAAATCGAAATACCAAAAAACTGAAAAATCTAAAATTTAAAAAATTGAAAAATCAAAATATAAAAAATTGGAAAAATTGAAACAAAATTGAAGAATTGCAAAATTGAAAAAATCGAGAAATCGTAACATCAAAAAATGATTAAATTTAAAAATCGAAAAAGTAAAATATTGGAAAATTGAAGGATTAAAAAATCGAAGCATCAAGAAATTGAACAACCGAAACATCGAAATTTCGACAAATTGAGAATGGAAAAACTGAAGAACTGAAAATTAAAAAAATAAAACAAAATGAAGAATTTAAAAATCAAATATTATAAAAATCAGAGAATTGGAAAACCGAAAAGTCTAAAACCTGGAAGTCAAAAAATCTAAAGATCGAGAAATTTAAAAAATCGAAAAAATTGACGAATAGAAATATTGAAGAACTGAAAAATCGGAAATAGAAAAATCTAAGATTTTAAAAATTAACAAATTAAAATATCGAAAAACCGAAAAAGTCGGAAAAGCAAAAAGTCGGAAAATCCAAAAATCGAAAAGTCGAAAATCGAAGAACCGAAATATTGAAAAATAATAAGCTGAGATATCTAAAAATTTAAAAATTGAAAAAAAATTGAAGAACCAAAAAATCGAAAAATCAAAAAATCAAAAATCTGAAAAATAGAAAAATTGAAAAATCCCAACACTAAAATATCGAAGAATTGAGTGGTGGAAAAATTGGAAATCGAGAAATTAAAAAACTGAAAATTCGAAAAAATTGAGAAATCGATAGTCGAAATATCTCGAAATTAAAAAATCGAAAAACTGAAAATAATATATCTCTAATTCTGATTTTTCTAAAAAAATCTAGACGCCTGGGATAAAAAACTCGACACGGATTTATAGACCACGGATGGAAGAGGACGTTAGTTTATAAAATTTAAATAACATTGTTGGTGGGGATGAGCAGACAAATTTTGGGTATCATTTTAGTATTTACATGATATTCCTAACATACATACTAAATTTGACAACAATCGGTCCGGTAGTTTCGGAAATTACCTATCTAATAAAAATCCGGGCAAACGGAAAACAGAGAACATGATATGTCGAGAAAACATAAAAGTAGCCAACTGCTGATGGACTCCATTACAGTATTTCCTTAGCTTAGGCTCGGGAAATAAAAAGTTGTGGAGAAGAAAAAATTGAAGTAGGTGTTGTCGAAATTTGCAATCTTTTATTGAGTTTAATTAATTATTATATTTTGAAAAAATTATTGAACGTTCTTTGGATAGAACTTGAACTTAAAACTTAGCATTTATGATATTATTGATGTCATTGATAAACAACCGAAATAGCGGTGGATCCAGATGAAACCCTGTGGTGTCTTTTCGATCAAAAAAAAAAGACTTCTGGTGGACTATGAAACTACTTATTTTTACGATTATGGTCATAATGGTATTAAATTGATTTTACACAGCTTTCTGATTGGTCCTGACCTAACTTGACCTGACATCGCATGACTAAAAAATTACTTTTAACAGCCCTAGCGTCTGGAAAACATCGTCTGATAATTTTCTGTAGTAGATTATAAACTTGCGCCGTGTACAGGGCCGTAACTTATCGTATTCCCTCGGGCCAATTTTCCGAATTATTTACCTGTGCTCCTCCTGACACACGTGCTCCCCCCTCGGCCTCCCCCAAGCCGTGCCTGCAGCCAGAGCCACCAGAATTACATTCCACATTCCTGCACCTCCTGATCAACCTGCAACAAAGCCCAGACCAGGAAATCACAATCCATTAATTTTTTTCCTTCACGAAAAACTGGTCGACCGAATTTCGGTTCCTTTCCAAACAAACGTTTTTTAATCCGCATTTACATAATACGACACGTTAGACCGTCGCCACAAAGCACACAGTGAAAAATCGTCGCCTAATTAAATAAATTAATCGAACAATCGGCGAAAATTTCGCATTACTTAACCAGAGGCCCAGACACGTAATTAATTTTTTCGGGCCGTTTCCAAATCTATAACGAGTGCTTTAGCATTGGCCTACATCCGCACAAATCCAATTTTTCATTAATGCGGCGATTGCAAAATGCAAGAATGTAATATTGTCATGCCGTTTCGGATGAAAGGTTAAACGAGGAATTTCGTAATTCCGTCAAAACATCCGATCGGTCAATTAATTTCGAGCCGAATCTGCATTTCTACATCTCTAATTTATGTTTTTCGTGGTTTCGCTTCGCTGGAATTTAAAGCAGTGTGAATTGTTCGACGAGTAAGTGAACTTTCGACGACATTGCAAAATTTACAGGGTTAATGTCAGGTTTGAAGGAAAGTTTATGCATGGACGGATTTGCGGTTGTTTACGGTAGAAAAATCCGCGGGATAAATAACGGGTTTGAAGTCGTCGGCGATGCTAAATTGGAGTGTGTTAATTATGAATGACACAAATGTCGAAATGTCGAACAGTTTTTAATTGGGTTGGGAGTGTTTGGAGAGATACATGGAGGAACAGTTTTAATTTTTAATAAAACTTTGTTTTTAAATTTAAAACTCACTGCAACAAGCTTGGTTTAATGCCAGTGGAAATGTCAAAGTCACAACATAAAATTTAACGATTAAAGAAAAATTAAGGTTTGAGTAACTACATGTATCACAAGGTTCACGTTACTGAGTTATGACTATGTGTAACAAAATGAAAAATTGTCCGATAAAGAAAAAAAAATATTCAAATGTGAGTAACATGACGAAGGAAAATTATACAAAAGGCAAAGAATCAACGGAGAGAGAAGAAATAAAACAGTTTTTGTGAGAAAATTTGAATCCTAAATAAAATAAAAGTTATTGATTTCTATTTCATTTTTGAAAATATTTAAATTTAAGAAATTAATGAAAAGGAAAACACAAACGAAAACAAAATATAAAAAACTGATCATTAAAATAACAGACAATATAGTAAGGGAAGTTTAAGTAAAATAAGGATAAATTTTTATCGAAGAATTCATTTAATATAAATAGACCGCTGACTAAGATAAGATCAACTCAAGTCAAGTCAAGTCAAGTCAATTTAGGTCAAGTGTAGTCAGGTCAAATCAAGTCAGGGTCAAATGAAGCCAAATCGAGTCAAGTCAGGTCACGTCCAGTCAGGTCAAATAAAGTTGTGTGAAGTTAAGTTGAGTCAAGTCAAGTCAAATTAGGTCAGGTCAAGTGAAATCAGGTCGAAGCAAGTCAGGTCAGGTGAAGTCAGGTCAGGTGAAGTTAAGTCAGGCTAAATCAAGGCATTTTACATTTTGTCAGACAAAATGTAAGCCCGCCCACCCACTCTATCTAGAGTGTGATGATTTTTTTTTATTCGCCGTGAACCAAGGGGGCGGAGCTTAACTGCAAAATACTTATTTCCTTACAAGAAATTAAAAACATATTTTTGAGTATCGTGTTATTCAAAGAATACCATGTATATTAAAAAAAATCCAAAATATAAACCCCGCCCACCCACCCACCCCATCTCAATTGTGGTGATTTTTTTATTATTAGAAACTTAAAACACGTTTAAAATGGTAAATTTTTGTAAGGAAATATGGATTTTGCAATTAGGCTCCGCCCCTAGGTCTTCCAACGAATGAAAACTTCATTACTATTTAGATGGGTGGGCCTAATGTTTGGCTTTAATTTTTCCTTAAATATATGAACATAGTATTTTTTAATAACATGATACTGTAAAACATGTCTTACATGGTAATTTCTTGTGGAGAAACAAGAATTTTGCATTAAGCTTCGCCCTCTTGGCTCACGACGAATAAAAAAATCATCAGAAATGAGACAGGGTGGGTGGTCGGGGCTTATATTTTGTCTAGTTTCTTAATATACGTATTCGCCTTTTCAGATTTAAAATGGTAAATTCTTCTACACAAATACAGATCTTGCAATTAAGCCCCGCCCCTCGATCTGACAACGAATGAAAAATTCATCACAATTGAGAATTGAGATCGGGGCGGGTATGGGTGGGGTCTAATCTTTGGCTTTATTTTTTTCTTAATATACATAGTATTCTTTGAACAACCCGATTTTCTAAAACGTGTTTTTCATTTTTCGCAGGGAAAATAAGGATTTTGCAGTTAAAATCGTCACAATTGAGATAGGGTGGGTGGGCGGGGCTACATTTTGCCTTTTTTTCTTAGTATGTGTAGACTTATTTCGACAATAACAAACTTAAAACATGTCTAAAATGGTAAATTACATTGAACATTGAAGTATCAACGGCAATTTGGCAACGGGGTGTATAAATGTCAGGTGAAGCCAAGTAGGATCAAGTCAAGTCAAGTGAAGTCAAGTCAAGTCAAGTCAGGATACGTTAGGTCACGTTAAGTCAGTTGAAGTCACGTTGAATGAAATAGAAAACAGATTTATAAAACATGTTGATTTAAGTCAGGTTAGGTCAGATCAAGTCAAAGCAAGTTAGGTCCAGTCAAGTCAGATCAGTGAAGTCGAGTCGAGTCAATTTAGGTTAAGTAATGTCTAGTCATGTCAGGGCAACTCAAGTTAGGTCAAACCAAGTGAAGTCAACTTAAGTCAAGTCAGGTCAAATTAAGTCAGCTTAAGTCAAGTAAAGCCAAGTCGAGTTAATTCCGGTCACGTCCAGTTAGATCAAGTCAAGTCAAATTGAGTGAAGTCAGGTCAAGTCAAATTAGGTCAGGTCAAGTGAAGTCAGGTCGAAGTTTGTATTCCTCCATATCCGTCTATATTTTTTAACTCCTTCCATAGCCGTGTAAAGGCATCTATTTCTTTAGATTTGGGTCTATATGCTTCTATTTCGTTATGTATCCTTCTAAATCTTTCTATATCGGTCCATATCCTTCCAGATGCATTTATATTTATCTATATCGTTCTATGTCATTCTATGGCCGTCTATTTACTATTATATCATTCCACATCCGACTATATCCGTCTATATTTCTCCGATATTGGTCTATATCTTTCTACATCTTATATGTTTCTATATATTTCCAGCTTGCCGTCTAAGCCATCTTTCTTTATACTTCATTCTATATTCTTCAATTTCGATTTGTATCCTTTCAATTCCTTCAATATCCGTTCATATCCGACGACATTCATCTATATCTGTCTATATACGTCTATACTTTTCTATATCCTTCTAATTTGGTCTATATCCTCCAATGTTCTTTTATATCCGTCTATATCTTCCGATATTCATCTATATGCGTCAGCATCCTTCTATGTCCATCTATATCCTTCTATATCAGTCCCAAGAGACGTTTATTTTATCCGAAATTTTCTTAGGATTCCAAATCTGTTTCTATATCATTCTATATCCATCTACACCCGTCCATGTCCGTTTCTATTCTTCCATAGCCGTCTAAAGCCATCTATATCCTTACATTTGGGTCTGTATGCTTCTATTTCTTTCTGTATCCTTCCAAATCCTTCTATATCCGTCCATATCATTCCATATGTATTTATATTTGTCTATATCGTTCTATATTATTCTATAGCCGTCTATTTGATATTATATCCTTCTATATCCGACTATATCCATCTATATTTCTCCGATATCTGTCTATATTATTCTACATCCATCTATATGCTTTCAAATCTTTTCCATACCCGTCTAAAGCCATCTATGTCCTTATATTTCATTCTACATACTTCAATTTCGATTTGTTCCTTCAAAATCCTTCAATATCTGTTCATATCCGACTACATTCATTTCCCATGCATCTATATCTGTCTATATTGTTCGATGTGATTCTATAGCCCTCCATTTACTATTATATCCATCCATATCCGGATATATCTATCTATATTTTTCCGATGTCCGACTTTATTTTTCTAAATCAGTCTATATGCTTCTAGATCTTTCCATACACGTCTAAAGCCATCTGAGTCCTTATATTTCGTTCTGAATAATTCTATTTCGATTTCTATCCGTTTATGTCCGACAATGTTCGTCTATATCTGTCTATATACGTCTATACTTTTCTTACTTTTCTATATCCTTCTAATTCGCTCTATATCCCCCAATATTCTTCTATATCCGGCTACATCCGTCTATATCATCCTATATCCTTCTATATCAGCCGAAGAGACGTTTATTTTATCGGATATTTTCAGATCACGAATTGCTGCTTCTATATCCTTCTGTATTCGTTTGAATTCTTCCATATCTGTCTATATATTTTTATCTTCTTCCATATAGTCATCTAAAGCCATCTATATCCGTAGATTTGGGTCTAAATGCTTCTATTTCGTTTCGTATTCTTCCAAATTCTTCTATATTGGTCCATATCCTTTCATATGCATCTATATCTGTCTATATTGTTCGATATCATTCTATAGCCCTCTATTTACTATTGTATCTATCCATATCTGACTATATCCGCATATATTTCTCCGACGTCCGACTATATTTTTCTACATCTGTCTATATGCTTCTATATCTCTCCATAGACGTCTAATGTGTCCTTATATTTCGTTCTATATACTTATACTTCCATTTGTATCCTTCCAAATCCTTCAACATCAATTTATATCTCCCGATATCCGTCTAGATCCATCTACATCCTCATATATCCATCTAAATCCTTCTATGTCAGGCATTTCTGCTTCTATATTCTTCTATATCCTTCTATGTCCATTTGTGTTCTTCCAAATCTGTCTATAATTTTTATCCCGTCCGAAAACCGTCTAAACCCATCTATATTTTCACATTTGGGTCTATATGCTCGAATTACGTATGTCTGCTTCTACATCCTTCTATATCTGTTTACATCTGTCTATGTCCATCTATATCCTTCTATATTCGTTTGTATTTTTCCTTATCCGTCTATATATTTTTATCTCTTTCCATAGCCGTCTAAAGCCATCTGTATACTTACATTGGAGTCTATATACTTCTATGTCGTTCTATATTATTCTATAGCCGTCTATTTACTATTATATCCTTCCATATCCAACTATATCCATATATATTTTTCCATAGCCGTCGATATCCATCTGTATCCTATATTTCGGCCTCTATGCTTCTATGTCGATCTATATTCTCCCAAATCTTTCTATTTCCTTCTATATTTAAAATCCAAAAGCAAATATTTGTTTTATAAATTATTAAAAAAACACAAAAAAATAATATGTATGAATCATATACATAGGAAAATAAAAAATTTAGTAAAAAATGTAGAACATGAACAGCAACAAAATTTAACGAATTGATTGAGGAAATGCACTTAGAATTGTAGATAAAAAATGCTTTTAAATTATAATATTCGGACAGAAAAATGAAATAGACAGATCAAATTTTTATTTCAATAAATATAATAGGAAAATGATATGTCTTCGAGGTAAAAGAGAAAAAAGGGGATTTTAATTACATTAAAAGAATAAAAAATAAATAAAACAAGAAATTACCATGACAGAAAAAAATAAGGTGTGTAAATTGTTTGAAAAGAAATAGTAGAAGAAATTGTCAAATAAGCACGACTTAAGCTTAAAAAATCATCATACAATAAAAGTGAAAAGTAAAATAAGACACAACAGAGCGAAAAAAACACAGAAAAATTTATAACCAAGCATGAAAAAGTTGGAAACATTTTGAAAATGTACGTATTAATTAAATTAAAAACAAACAGTGATTATCGTAACGAGGAAGCAAAAACAATCAAAGAAAAATGAAAAACGGAGAAAGATAAAAACAGAACAGACAAAACAAAAAACATGTGAGTAAACAAAATCAGTAGCCCCCAGTAGGAAGTACAAACTAAGTGCTTTTTCGCAGTTTCTTAATATGAATAACTAATTCAATTAAAAACCTGTATCGTGTTTACGTTACATTACAAGTATCTCATTTTTACACTGTTATGCAAGAAATTTTATCACCTTTACCGAAATTACGTTATTTCGAATAAATTAAAACTACATGTTTACTGTTACAAATCAAACCCAATTACCAGTGCGACTTCCAACAAACCCAATTTTTTGGAAGTGTAGGTGGCGCTAAACAACTAATTCCGTATTTCCGCCGTTTGAACCACGAATTCTTTATCACGACAATGTCACTGACTTTGCCTTAATTAAACATTTTGTTTTTCTTTGTAGTGAGTGAGTGTTCTTGGTTCTTAATGTCACTACCGTTATTATTATCACTCTCAAACCTTGATCCTTATTCCAACACCCATTACGGCAAATTTGGAAAGTTTCATTATTTTTCGCAGAGGTCAATGAAAATTACCTAATTCGGCAAATCCGATCACGATTATGCAGGTAAAAGTTCAAGGACCGAGTCGCATTATTTTCGTTGAAAATTTCGGAAATGGGTAAGTTTTCCGGGTGTACACACCTTCTAACACTGGTAGCCAAAGCGTGATTCCATTAACCACGATCACATATCTTCAGCAGCACCACATCACTTCCACTCGAGCAACTGTACAATGGTTAATCTTCGCTCTAACTTTGTTATCATGTGTGTATTCAATTCGTTTAACAGCGGAAGACTCATATGGTTTTAATATTGCGTGATTTACATCTCGTGTGGACGAGATGGATCGAAAACACTTGCCCCAATTGACAAATTGCCCCTTTTTTTGTTAGTCACACTTTGTAATAATTACAAGTTGGTGAATTTGGCGAAAATGTTTGACATCTGGTGATCTAATACGTGACATTTTTGAGCGGTGTTTAAGCTGCCAGTTGCATAAGATGTAACAAGATTCCAAAGATGTCTTGAGTAGCAACGTTTTTTTTAGTCGATATTTCGTCCAGGAATATGAGCTCATAATAAGGTCGTTATGTGGCGAAAATAAGCGACGAACTTTGATTAGACCGCCTGTTGTGCTGCAATTTGAGTGTTGCTCCCGGATTAATGACGTTCCTGTCTTGAAATCATTTCAGATGTGCTTATTTGAAGCTGCAGCGTTGCGTAAAGCCAGTTCTAGTTCTAGCAATCGATATTCTCTTGTGGCACTCCATTAATAACCCACGGTTTGTGCAAGAGACCCTCAAACCCGTACAGATTTGCTCAATTCTCCAATAATTTACAAACATTGGGCAATTTATGCTAAACTAAATCTGTTTCCGTCTGACGGATTTCCCACGTCACATGTGTAGTAGAGTTTACGCACTAAAAATTTACGTTACAAAATTTCTTCGAGAAGGTTAAATTCCTTAACATTACGGATTCTTGTCACAACTCTTCCGGTTCAAGAGAATGATGATGTTATTGTTACGACTTACCTAATCCACCTAATTAAATTCGAATTAACATTCGTTTCGTCAGAAGTGGGATTACAGGTCGGAATGAAAGGGACAAAACAAGAATAAATTTATTTTAAAGTGGTCCAATGACGGGAAGCCAAGTCCTCGACTAATAAACATCGCAAATTTGAAGTGAGTGAGTCATGATTGTCCTACTCGGACAGAATAAGAAAGTACGTATTTTTTCGCACTTGACTTCTTTCTCTATTACTCAATCAACCCGTTGACAGATCGTCGAAAAATCGTCATTTTGTGTCACAAATTAATTCACAAATTATTCAAACAAGCCTCTTTTGCTTGTAGAACACAAATACCAAGAGCTAAAAGTTGTTCGAACACGATTGCACACGTGCATTTGCATAAGTTTCGACCTTACAAAGGATGACCACTTTTATAATAGCACCACTTTTGGGTTTTAATGGTTTGTCGCAGTCTTAATTTCAGTCAAGTTCGATGGATAAAAAAATAAAAACAAAATATTACGTGCTAACCTACACAACGGGTTTTGTTTTGGTCGGGGCTGTTGCAATGGGGTTTTTGAGGCCAATTTCGGCAATTTCATGAGAGAACGGTTTTGTTCATTGTTTCAGGAAAAGCAATTATGGTGGGAACTGCAATATTTTATCGAATGTGAATTTTTAAGGAGTAAGAGCTGACGTCAAGGCTTTCTGCAAATTGAGCAGGAAAGAGGTTTATATCATACATTTGTAAAAAAGAAAAGATTAAACAATCACTAAAACAATTTTGTAGTTTGGAGATAAATTTTAGACGCATATTTTAATAAATTGTGTTAATGTTTTTAGAAAAATAACCCTAGACAAACTGAATAAGCTTTTAGTCAATATTATATATTTTTTGAGGATTTTTCGGTTTTCGGAAAAGTTTAAATTATACATTGAAGTTCCCGTTGCAGTCCCACTTTAGATATGTTTTAAGTTTTTTGTTGTCGAAATACCTGTACACATATTAAGAAAAAAGGCAAAATGTAGCCCCGCCCACCCGCCCTATCCCAATTGTGATGATTTTTTTTATTCGTTGAGAGCCAAGAAGGCGGAGCTTAACTGCATATTTCTCTACGAGAAATTAAAAACATTTTTTGAATATCGTATTGTTCAAAGAATACTAAGTGTATTAAGAAAAAAACAAGCCAAAAATTTAGCCCCACCCACATCCATCCCAAACTCAATTGTGATGAATTTTTCATTCGTTGTCAGATAATTACAAGATCCATATTTGTCTACAAGAATTTACCATTATAAACATGTTTTAATTTTCTTGTTCCGAAAAGACTACTACGTATATTAAAAAAAAAGCAAAATATAAGCCCCGCCCACCCACCCTATCTCAATCGTCATGATTTTTTTAATCATCGAGAGGCAAAAGAGCAAGATTTAATTGCAAAATCCTTATTATTTCTCCACAAGAAATTACCATGTAAAGAATACTATGTACATATATTAAGAAAAAATTAAAGCCGAAGATTAAGCCGCACCCATACCTGCCCTGATCAAAATAGAAGTTTTCATTCGTTGACAGACCTAGGGGCGGAACCTAATTGCAAAATCCATAGCTCCTTACAAAAATGTATCATTTTAAACGTGTTTCAAGTTTTTAAGAATAAGGAAAATCATCACAATCGAGAGCGGGTGGGTGGGCGGGATTTATATTTTGCCTTTTTTTCTTAACATACGTGGTATTCTTTGAACAGCACGATAGTCAAAAACATGCTTTTAATTTCTTGTAAAGAAATAAGTATTTTGCAGTTAAGCGCCGCCCCCTTGATTCACGGCGAATAAAAAAAATCATCACAATTGCGATAGGGCGGGTGGGCGGGGTCACATTTTGTCTTTGTGTATTAGTATATTATGTAGATTTTTTCACAACATGAAATTTAACACATGTTTAGAATGGAAAATTTGTATAAAGAAATATCGATTTTGCGATTAGGCTCCGCCCCATAATTGCAAAATTCATATTTCCTTGCATAAATGTACCATGTTCTAAGTTTCTTGTGTGAAAAGAAGCCAAAATATAAACCCCACCCACCCGCCCATTCTCAATTCTGATGATTTTTTTTTAATCGTAGAGAGACAAAGGAGCAGAATTTTATCGAAAAATGCTTATTATTTCTTTACAAGGAATTACCATGTAAGATATGTTTTTGAGTATCGTGTTTTTCAAAGAATACTTCGTATATTAAGAAAAAATTAAAGCCAAAGATTAAGCCCCACCCTGAAGGTTTCATTCGTTGGCAGACTTAGGGGCGGAGCCTAACTGCAAAATCCATATTTCCTTACAAAAATTACTATTTTAAACGTGTTTTAAGTTTCTGAGAATTAAAAAAAAATCATCACACTTGAGATGGGGTGGGTAGATGGGTTTTATATTTTACCTTTTTTTCTTAATATACCTAGTATTCCTTGAACAACCTGATATTCGAAAACATGTTTTTAATGTCTTAAAAAGAAATAAGTGTTTTGCAGTTAAGCAAAACATATTTTATATTTTGCCTTTTTTTTCTTAATTTACTTTCTTCTTTTTATTAAAAATACTTAAAACATGCTTAAAATGGTAAATTTATGTAGAGAAATATCGATTTTGAAATTAAGCTCCTCCCCTAATCTAACTAACGAACAAAAAATTCATCACAATTGAAATCGGGGTGGGTACAGGTGAGGTTTACTCTTTGGCGCTCTTTTTTACTTAATACTTATAGGTTTCTTTAAACAACACGATTATTTGTAAATATATTTTAGATGGTAATTTCTTATGTAAAAATAAGGATTTTGCAATTAAGCTCCGCCCCCGGCTCACGACTATTTAAAAAAAATCATCACAATTGAGATAGGGTGGGTGAGCGGGGCTTATATTGTGCTTCTGTTTTTCTTAATATACGTTCTTCTTTCCATTAAAAAATACTTAAAACGTGTTTAAAATGGTAAATTTTTGCAGAGAAACATCGGTTTTGAAATTAAGCTCACTCTGATAACCAATCAAAAATTCATCACAATTGAAATCGGGGCGAGTATAGGTGAGGCTCAATCTTTGGCTTTCTTTTTTACTTAATACATAGTTTTTTTTTAAACAACACGATTATTTGAAAACACATGTTTCAGATGGTAATTTCTTATAGAAAAATAAAGATTTTGCAGTTAAGCTCCGTCTCCTCGGTTGACGGCGAATTAAAAAAATCATCACAATTGAGATAGGGTGGGTGGGCGGGGCTTTACCTTTTTTTTTTAATATACCTACGTTCTGCTTTTGATTACAAAATACTTAAAGCATGTTTAAAATGGTCAATTTTTGTATAAAAATATCGGTTTTGAAATTCAGCTCCTACCCCCCTTCTGATAACGAATGGAAAATTCATCACAACTGAAATAGGGGCAGCTATAGGTGAGGTTTAATCTTTGGCTTTTATTTTCTTTTAATAATGTGAAACCTTCTCGGGGGCGCCAAATGTCTTTTTAAGAATGTTAAACCTTTTCGGGGGTCCCAACTGACTTTTTAAGAATGTTAAACCTTCTCGGGGGTCCCAACTGTCTTTCTTTAAAGTTGTAAAACCTTCTCAGGGGCTCCAAATGTTTTTTTTTTTTAATGTGAAATCTTCTCGGGGGTTCCAACTGTCTTTTTAAAAATGTAAAACCTTTTCGGGGGCGCCAAATGTCATTTTTTAAGAACCTGAAACCTTCTCGGGGGTTCCAACTGTCTTTTTTTAATGTGAAACTTTCTCGGGGGTTCCAACTGTCTTTTTTAAAAATGTAAAACCTTCTCGGGGGCTCGAAATGTCTTTTTTTAATGTGAAACTTTCTGGGGTCCCAACTGTGTTTTTTTAATGTAAAACCTCGTCGGGGGCGCCAAATTTTTTTTATGAACGTGAAATCTTCTCGGGGGTCCCAACTGACTTTTTTTAAGAATGTTAAACCTTCTCGGGGGTCCCAACTGACTTTTATTAACAATGTTAATTAAACCTTCTCGGGGATCCCAACTGAGTTTTTTTAAGAATGTTAATTAAACTTCAGAGATCCCAATTGTCTTTTTTTTAATGTGAAACCTTCTCGGGGGTCCCAACTGACTTTTTTTAGCAATGTTAATTAAACCTTCTCGGGGGTTCCAACTGACTTTTTTTAAGAATGTTAATTGAATCTCAGAGGTCCCAATTGTCTTTTTTTAATGTGAAACCTTCTCGGGGGTCCCAACTGACTTTTTTTAGCAAT